TTCTTACTTGGGTAGTCCATATTCATTTGACCCAATGCCCTAATGAGTCTCGTACACCCATCTACAAGTTCATGATGACATGCCTTGGCATTTTCGACATCCAATGCTCCATACATAAACATAAGTTAATTTACTTAATGCCGTTGTGCATCTCCTACATTTAATACTTACTATATGAGAATTTTAAGTTAATTTTATAGGAAAATCCAGGGGCGACATCACATGCACAGTGGAAGAATAAAAAATAAAATCCCCAAATTTTCTAAAAATGTGTTTGTCATCATGCGAAGATTGGTGTGCAAAATTCACGAAACTAAAAACCACACGTGAGATAGTTGTATTACATAGGGAGATTATATATCCCTGAATCCCTATAGATCTGTAGGAGAGGATGAAGGAGGTTAAGCGTTATTCTCTCTAGCAGTGATCTACACAATAAGGTTACGATGATGCTCCTCAAATTTCCAAGCTTGCTCTCTAAGGAGGAGAAGGTGAGAGAAGAATAGGAGGTGGCAACCAAGAAAACCTTTAGTTTATGAATGTTTGGTTCTCTCCTATTTATAGAGATCCTATGTCAACTTAACCCTAATGGATTATGCCATATTGGATATTGGATCTGTATCCAACTACCCAAGTCTCTTAGATTAGTAGATCTCTATCCAATAATCTCTCATTGGCTCTTATTGGATCACATCCATAGGATCCAATAATTCACGGGCTTATTGTATATCCAATAAGAAAGGGGGTTCAATAGATATCTCATATTCGAACCTCTACTCGTTATAATGCCTACCATATATGTGTGACCATCGAGGCATAATATCGAGCTGCTCATGAGTCATACCTTTTAGAACTCATTCCGGTTTATTGAATTATTATCTCTATAATAATTCACTTGACTCATCGACTATGGACGTACTAGGTCATTACGTCGTAGTCTCCAAACGATACAAGGGAATCTAATCCTTTGGACCTATTTGTTCTCAGTTACCGTATATCTATAGTCCCTTATCCATCTAATATTCCAGAGACCGTATACCAGGTATAGTACTATCAGACCCATACAATTTCTACTCTAGTCTCACTCTAATTAGATTCTCCTAGAGAACTCTTTATCTCTCAATCCGAATGACCTTTGTTAGGGATTTGTCTGAGCAATAACACATGAGATATTTCTCTCATGACACCGAAAGCGGGGGATCCTCTATCGACACTCAATAACCCTCGTAAGGTTGGCTACCACTCCCGATGAACGGTTGTGCTAGATCTAGAACCTATAAACCTATAAGTTTGGTATCAAAGAGTGTATTACTCATACATGACATCCTTAGTGTCTCAAGTCTAAGGACCAAATATACTATTGGGACAACGGAATCGTTGTCTAACGATAAGGCATCATCAACCATCCAACATTCCATAAGTAGATCAATCTATTAACTCATTTTTCAATGAGCACCTACATTGTCTCTCTAGTGTCCCCACACGAGCAACTATGAGACCAACTATATCCATCATATTGACGGGTATACAATACACCAGTCTGTTCAATTATCTCGATATCCCTCTTGAGTAACCTATGACCGGGATTATTTAGAATTTATGTTTAAAGGCAAATCGATCTCATTATCATGATCTCATCACGAGCCGATTCTCATTGCATAAATCAATGGACATCACAATATATTCATACAACAGATAATATAAAGTGATAAAATACCAATTAATAATAATAAGTAAAAAGACTACGTGTCAAGTCACACGTGTTATCACTTACGTGATTGCCTTGCAGGACACCTATGACTAGCAGATATGTCTTGATACTCTTGTGTCTCCTAAATTCGACGTTAATTATATGGGCAGTTCAAGTCAACATGCCTTGATGCCTTAGTAAATCTCTTGCATCCAACTCTTTCTATATAATTAGTTTAAGTCAACATACATCGATACCCTCATGGGTATCCTATGATTAATTTTACCTACATGGGTAGTTCAACTATTCAAGTTGGAACTTTTAATGCCCTCATGCATCTCCTATATCAGATAGTCCCTAAACGTGTCATTCAAGTTGGCATGCGTTGATGCTCTCATATGTCTTCTAGAATAATCCCTATTTGGATAGTTTAAGTTAAAAAATCTTAATGCTCTTATGCTTATTCTATGTCCAACTAACCTTGCATGTATATGTTAAGTCGATATGGCTTGATGTCCTCGTATGTCTCCTATATCCAATGCTTTTTTGAATGGTAGCTCAAGTTGGTATGCTCTTATGCCCTCAAGTGTCTCTTATGTTTAACACCCCATATTTAGGTAGTTCATATGACTCATGCCCTCATGTGTCTCTTGCATGTTGGCATGCCTTAACACTATCACACATCTTTAATGTTTAATACTTTTTATATGGGTAATTCAAGTTGATATACTACAACACCTTCATGTGTATGATGTGTACTACGTATGCAGTTCATGTGTTTCTTGAATTATACATGAGGGCATTTGATACTTGCTACATAGGTAGTTCTCTTACATCTGATGCTTACTACACATGAAAGCATGACTAGATACTCTCATGTGTCTGTTGAGTGTAATGTTAATTGCATAGATAATTCAAGCTAATATGCCCCAATGCCCTCATATTTACATTCAACTCTCTACATGAATTATTCAAGTTGACATATATGAATTTATAGTCTATTGTACACAATGCTTCCTGCTTAAGTAGTGTTCAAGTTAACACATTAGATGTTGTGCATCTCTAACGCATGATACTCCCTGTCTAGTAATTCAAGTTGACATGCTACAATGATGTTTTTATATGAGTAGTTCAAGTTAGCATCCTCGATGGCCTCGTACATCTCCTATGTTAGACAATCCCTATATAGATAATTTAAGTGGACATCTCTTATGCTCTCTTATGTCTTTTACATACAATGCTCCCTTTAGGGGCAATACAAGTTGGCACACCTTGATGCCATTATGCTTTTCTTATGTTTTCCCTCCATGCACTAGTAATTTAAGTGGGCATGCCTTGATGCCTTCGTGAACCTCCTCGTGTAAGAGCAATTCATGTTGGCATGCTTTAATGCCATCACACATCTCTTGCATCCAACTCTCTCTCAGTTTAAGTCTAACATAGTCGACATGCCCCTATGCCCTTGTGTGTCTCTTGAGCTATCCACTAATTGCATGAGCAATTTAAGTCAACTTACCCAAATGTCATCGTCACACATCTCTTACATCCAACTCTCCTTGCATTGATAGCTTAAGTTAGCATACCTCCTTACTCTGGATCTCTCACAACTAATGTTTTCTACACAAGTGGTTCAAGTTAAGATACCTTGATATCATCACGCATCTTCTATGTTTGATGTTATTTATATGAGTAGTTCAAGTTGATATAGCCCGATAACAATCTCTACATAGGTAGTCTGAGCTTGCCACTTAGTACTAAGTCGGCATACACTTATTATTTTTTCTTTTCTTGCTAGGGTCAAAACTGGCTTATTGACCATGGGTAGTCTCAAGCAATGAGACAAAAGATAAGATGAGATCTTGATCTCCCTTTATATTTGTTGAAAGAAGTAGGTTGAAAGATAAAACTTTACAGGGCTAAATATTAAGTGTAGTTAGTGGGCCTTACTTAGCAAGCAAACAAGTGTAGTTAGTGAGCTTTGCTATGGATTTCATTTAAAGTTTTCTACCTTATTAGGCATGTAGTCAATCGTATCTTACTACTTGACTAAACAACACGAGGGGCATAACACTAATCTCCTATGCACGTCAAAGGAATATTTATTCAAGAGCTCCAAAATGGGTGTTCAATAAAATGATTTTCTCTCTCTTGAAGATCATAAGATATGGTGAGCCCATCAGTGAGGAGCTTACTAACTTAATGTTAAGAAGAAAGGATAGATTCCTATATACATAGAAAGGGATTTTTATTCGAGAGCTCTAGAACAAGTGTTTGGTAAAGCAACTTCCTCTTTCTCTTGAAGATCCTAAGGTATAGTGAGCCCATTGGTAAGGAACTTATCAATTTTAGGTTAATGAGGAAGGGTAGATTCTATATTTTCCTTATAAGGTCCTTTGCCCCAACCTTGCATTCAATCTACTCCTATGCTTCTAATCTCTCTAGGGACTTCGTATGATAATCATTATGTAAATGAATCATTATATACAATGATTAATACGTAAATGTTCATATGACTTGATGTCCTAATGAGTCTCATTAGTCAATCCCAATTCTTATACGTCATAATGATTTCATATATTTTTAATATTTAATATTTATAAATTTAGCATATTACAGTACTCTCATATATTTATTGCATCCAACAATTCAAATAGGTATTGTCAATGATAATTATATAAAAAATTTAAATAAACACCCTAATGCTCCAGCACTTATCTTCGATGAAATGAAATTCCAAGGTCTCCTCGGTACATAGTAGTGACTTCAATGACCACTATTCAACTACAAAAACCAATGGTAGATTCTTTCGTCGTATAGTGCCTCTCTGATGGCAATCCTACCCAACCACACTGCTTTTGAAATGAGCCATATTTTTATGCGGGACCCGCTCCAAATGAGCCATCATTATGAGCAATGATAACGCAGGTACCGTTGGGTATCATATGAAACGGGGAGGAGATCCGTTTTATGCGAGACTTCCGCCAGCTCGTTCACAACTTACTCCCACTGCGACGGTTCATCTGGGACCCAGAAGCAGGTCATCCCAATAACAATGTGAGCAAGCCAACGGGTAAGCATAGTTGAGTAAGAAAATTATTTTCAATGATGGCACTAAGGGAGATCCTCGACATACATATTTCCCAAACAACCAAATCACAACAGACTCGACATCCTCCGTCACACACTTTCGCCACCCGTTGGTTTTCGCCCATCTCATTCGCCGCAGTTATGGGACCCACGTGGAACCGTGGTTTCCCCAGTCACAAAACAATGCAGGAAAAAGTATTTTTGCCACTTTCCGTCCCCTTCACTCACTTTAACTCCTCTTCTTCCACGAGACTCCCCCGCTCTTCATCTAGCCTTCTCCGATGCTCGAATCCTCTCTCTCTCTCCCCTTCTAGGCTATCTCCACACTCGAACCCAAAGAGGTAATGCGGAACGCATTCTTTCTTCGTCTCTACTTTTCTCCGCTATTTCTCGACTTTTTCTAATTTCGTTGGTTTTTTAGGGATTGGATCCATCGACGATGCCGCCTCCGCAGCAGGCCTTGGCGGCCAGAGCAGGCGGGAGGTGTAGAAGGGACGGAGGTCCCGTTTGCGGCTTTCGCCCACCCGCAGTGCTGCTTCTCTTCTTCCTTATTCTGGCCCCTTTGGCGGTGCGCGGCAGCATTCGGGCGCCGATCTCGTCCGGTATGCTGATCTTTACTCGCACATTTGTACGATTTAGTGGATGTGGAATGCATATGGGAGTGGGGATTCGATTTCTGTTGCGGATTTGCTTCCTTTTATTTCCTGCTCGGAGATCTGGGCCTGTGAATTTACATCTCTGATGCATTTATTCATGTGGAAGGACATATGAAACTGATTCCTTTATTTCTGAATCTGTACCTTGATTAATCATTTATTGCATCTTCTTAGATCCTGAGTCATCTCTGACAACACACCGATGTCCGTTCTACCGAGTTTCAGAACGTATTCTAGTACATACTCAGGACGCTGATGCAAAACTCCGTGGGTTGAATAATGGATTATAGGAATTTGGCACTTTATGAGATGCATATGAAGAAGAGCCGTTGCGAAGTTGGAAGATGCATTAAATAAGCTTCTCACTAGGAAATTGAAACTGAATTATCAGAAATCATGTTAGGAAAATAAGGCATATAACACGATGAAAATAGTCATGTGGATGAACTTGAGGTCAGTTTCTTTTTTGGGTTTTGTTAATAAGTTTATTTAAGTGCAAATCATGTATTTGACCACCTCCAATTGCAGAAGTTCAACTCGACAAGATGCAAACCCATAACTTGATTAAGATAATAGGAGATGGACACATATGTTGCATGTGCTTGAATGTTCCTTGAGTTATAATCATGCTCCTGGAAACTTATAATTTTGATGTTCATATTCTGTAGCCTTTATCATCTGTTGGACTGCAGTTTGAAGTTTATTGATTCTGTATTATGTGTTCCTGTGCAGGCATCCAGGATCTCCCTAGCCACACGGTACCTTCCTCAGTGATATCCTTTTATTTTCTGCTTGTTGAGAAAGGTAGCTCCTTTTGCCCTTAAATCTCACATATGAATGGATCATGACAGGGAACCGATCAGAGAGAACAAGTTGCTGTGCAGAAGCTAAAATCTATTCTAACAAAAGAGGTTGGTGAATGATAGTGAATGTCTTGCTAATTACTTGGTTATTATTTTTTTAGGTTACTGCAATAATATATCTTGATCATTTTAAAATGCATGCTTCTCTGGCTGTCATATTGTTAGTGTCTTTCTGGGCTTATGTATATTATCCTTCATTCAATACCTGCAAGCCAGCAGGATTTGGGTCATTGGGGCCTTGATTTTTTTCAGGACAGACAGTGTCCTTTCTTTATGGCAGAATAATGAAGTTGGCCATGCTGATCATTGCATCATTACTTTGACAGATCTAAACTTCGTGCAGCTTATATGCTTAAGCATTTCTAGTTTTATGCAATACATTGGTAAAATACGCTTACTTATTTTCATACTCATCTTCTCGAAGACACTTCAAAATGTTTCACATGCGGAGAAAAGTTATTCACTGGCCGAATTGGAGAACAAGGCACTGATTAGTTCTTTACAGATTGCAGATGTAAAGCTTTACAACAATCCAGGTAATTTTTAGATGCTCATTTTCCATTGTGTAAATTTAATTTCTCGTATATTATTTATGCTGGGTAAACAAGTTAATATTTTATTCTGATGCAGATGATCAACAACTTCTTGATTCACCAGCAAAATTAATTCGAAGGGTATTCATTTTAATTAATAGGTGTTATTTCCCTTACATTCATTGGCCATTTAGCTGATTTGATGTCCTCACTTCGTTGCCCCTGCTAATTTGAAACTTTTGCTTCTGAAGTATTTATTTTTCCTTAACTAATAAAATACATTACTCTTTGGTCTCCCAGTACTCAGCTTGTTTATCTCAGTTGCTATGTTGTGCTGAATGTCAATAAATCTGTTATTACAATTTGATCTTTTGGAATATTTTCATGTATTATAGCAATTGAGAGAGGAAAGACATGAACAGAAGCAGATGGTGTTTACTCAACAAGATGATGAAGCAGTAGTTAGGCTTGAAAATGCTGCCATTGAGCGTTCAAAAGCTGTGGATTCAGCAGTATTGGGCAAATATAGCATATGGAGGCGAGAAAATGAGAATGAAAATTCTGATTCAAGAGTTAGGCTGATGCGTGATCAGATAATCATGGGTAGGATCTATTCTGTACTCGCAAAATCAAGGAACAAACTTGATCTTTACCAGGAATTGCTGAGTCGTATCAAAGAAAGCCAACATGTAGTAGGAGAGGCCAATGCTGATGCTGACCTACACCATAGGTGAGAGCTATTTCATAAATTTGCTGTGTGCTGCCCCATTTAACTTTTTCTAAATAGAAAATTTTCAGTGCTTCTGATAAGATCAAAGCAATGGGTCAAGTTCTTTCTAAGGCAAAAGAAGCACTATATGACTGCAAGGCAGTAACTCGGAGACTCAGAGCTATGCTCCAATCTGCTGATGAACAAGTTAGGAGCTTGAAGAAGCAGAGCACATTCCTTAGTCAGCTGGCTGCTAAGACAATTCCCAATGGAATCCACTGCTTGTCTATGCGTTTAACCATTGACTACTACCTCCTTCCTTTAGAGAAAAGAAAATTTCCAAGGAGCGAAAATTTGGAAAATCCAAATCTTTATCATTATGCCCTTTTCTCTGACAATGTCTTGGCTGCTTCAGTAGTTGTAAATTCTACCATCATGAATGCAAAGGTCTGGTGATGCTCTTTTCTTTTCTGATCAATTTTCTTTCTAATGATGATTTCTTGATTAGCTTGTGTTTGCAATGCTTGCAGGAGCCAGAAAAACATGTATTTCATTTAGTGACTGATAAATTGAATTTTGGAGCCATGAACATGTGGTTTTTGTTGAACCCTCCTGGGAAGGCAACCATTCATGTAGAAAATGTGGATGACTTTAAATGGCTGAATTCTTCATACTGCCCGGTGTTAAGGCAGCTTGAATCTGCTGCCATGAAAGAGTACTATTTTAAAGCTGATCATCCTTCAGCAGGTTCTTCCAATCTAAAGTATCGAAATCCGAAATATCTATCTATGCTAAATCATTTAAGGTTTTATCTCCCAGAGGTTTATCCCAAGTTGGATAAGATCCTTTTTCTCGATGATGACATTGTTGTTCAGAAGGATTTGACAGCACTTTGGTCTGTAGATCTCAATGGTAATGTTAATGGTGCAGTCGAGACTTGTGGTGAGAGCTTCCATCGTTTTGACAAGTATCTTAATTTCTCAAACCCACACATTGCCCGTAATTTTGATCCTAATGCATGTGGCTGGGCATACGGGATGAATATGTTTGATCTCAAGGAGTGGAAGAATAAAGATATAACTGGGATTTATCACAAATGGCAGAATATGGTAAGTTAAATAATTTTGGAGGAAAATTTATATATTATACATTTCATATTGTAAAATCTAATATGCTTCTTCTAGACATGAAGTCTATTTGGAATTTGTCATGCTTTCTTATATTAGGCCTCATGGTGAACAGTAAACTGCTACTAGACTTTTGTCCACTTACTGACATGCTTAGCCATACTTGTGGTTTAAATCTCTTGTAGCTTATGCGCATGCATGTAAATGCTTCTTAAATGATGTTTGTATGAACATGTCATTCTGCATGCCTCAGAGCTAAAAGGTTGTACAATTACCCATGTTACTAATGTGGTTCATCTTTCTTTTGGTTCAACATTAATTTTTTGTATCCTTTATATGTATTAAAGGATTTTTTGTTTCAAACCAAGGTTCGTAATTTTGTACCGTACCGGAGTTTCGAGCTTTGCTCGATATGGTACAGTATAGGCGTATCGAGTAGTACGCTAGGGTGTACTGCTCGATGTATATATATATATATATATATATAACATAATATAAAAAATATAAAAATCAATATAAAAATAATATAAAAATAAAAAATAGAAAAAGGAGGCGTATGTTGCCTCGATGACATTGCCTCCTTTTTCTTCTCCTCGTCACGTCAGATGAGGAGAAGACGCGGTCTTCTCCTCGTCTATGGCATTCAGTGAAGACGTCGAAGGCCGTAGGCGTCTCCAACCTTCGGTGAAGTATGCGGCGAAGAAGCTGAGCCGTCGCCTCTCCCTTACCTCCTGGATCGGGATCGTTGAGGGAGGGTGGCATCGGATCGGGAAGCGTCGAGGTTCTCACGCTTCTCCCTCTTCTCCCTCGACGCTTCTTCTTCTCTCGTTGCAGCCGAGTTGATACCGCTTGGTAGCGAGCGGTCCACATACCGATCTGCTGGCGGACCGGTACGTACCGCCTGGTACGAGCAGTATCATTCGAAATTAAAATCCTTGTTTTAAACATTAGCCCTTGGATGACGGTATCAAAGAAATTATCATTTTCTGTTGAACCACCATATAGGAAATTTGTATACTTTGTTTTTGTTTTAAATTCACTGAGATGACAATCATGACAGAGCCAAGGTCTCTTTTCTCTTTTCTCCTCCTTTAAGTTTGTTATTAAGTAAATAGATCCATTGCTATAGATTGTTAATATGGTCAACTTCAGTCATCTCCATAGCAAACTTTGATTCCTGTAAAATGATTTTCTTCAATCAGCCTTTTGGAATATTTTGTGCTACTTTGTTTCATTTATCTGATTAATTTTAGCATCTATTATCCTTAATATATATGGACATTCTCCTCTGGAATATTTTGCACTAATCTACTGTAGCAAGAAGCGAAAAATTTCTTTTATCCAGAAACCTGGTGTGTCCACGCAGCCTTTTGTATCTCTGTCACCACCAGGATCTTTATGCATCATGACCATAATACATTTTTAACTTCTTTTTTTATTTATGTTGTTAATATGGCATATATAACATGCTTCTTTGGTCCATGTCGAATTTCAACCTGCTATATTTTGTTGTTGGCTTTATTTTATTATGGAAAAACACTATGCTGATACATGTTCCATTAAGCTTAAAGGTGAAGTTTTTTTACAAACTATATTAAATTTCAAATACATGTCCACTCTGAGGCCCACTACATAAGCGCACAAAGATTTACATTATAAATGTAAAAGCATACATGTACTTTACTTTTATTTGCTTTTCCTCTAGAATGAAGACCGGGTGCTCTGGAAACTTGGGACACTCCCTCCTGGACTGTTAACATTTTACAAGCTGACTCATCCACTGGAAAAATCTTGGCATGTACTTGGTTTGGGGTACAACCCTACCATCGATCACTCTGAGATCGAAAATGCTGCAGTCATTCACTACAACGGAAACATGAAACCTTGGTTGGAGCTGGCAATGACCAGGTACAGGCCTTACTGGACTAAATACATCAATTATGACCATCCTTATGTCCGGGCATGCAAACTAAAAGAATAGGAAGAAGTTACAGGGTTTATTATCAGAGGATATAAGTTGTTGCTCGGAAGCCAACTCAGCTAGTGATTGTCAAGGTTCTCCCAGTGACTAATTCTTTATCTATATATGTGAATTTCTTTTTGCCATCAACTTCATTTTCCCTCCTGTATTACTTTCATTTTTCAAGCCCTTATATATGGAGGAATGTTTTTGGTGTTTTATGCATACGTCTGATTATGTAGTGACTTTGTTTTCTAAAATAATATTATTATTAATATTATTTGCACAGGATCGTTGTCTATTACTTGTGTAATAGATTCTTATTGTTGTGGGGCGCTGCTCATCTTTGCATTATTTTATTTTGAGAGTCTACCGTTATGGAATAGTACTAAACTTGTCCCACTATGGTGTGTTTTGATCCTTAGAAGACTCAAAACTTGCATGTTGGATCTCAGTTATCAAGTACCACTGCGACTCGGCTTTCACATTAGAGGAGATGCTTAAACTCATTTTGTATATAAATGATCATCTTTATATGGTGTATATAATGATCTGATCAAAATTTTTACCACCACAGTAGAGATTTTGGTGGTAATCAAACGAGGACTTGCCCATCTGATCTTTTAATCAAACGACGGCAGAACGCGAGCGACACGCTTTCCAGAAAGCTGCCTCTGTTCGCTGTCGTCTTCTCTAAAGTAAACCACACCACTTCCCCTGAATATAATAACAACAGCGGAATAATTCTACTTCTCGTTTGCTTGCAGCTGATGGGAACATTTGGCGTCTCGAAGGTCACCGAAACAACCCAAGCATCCATTACTTGGTCAGTACGTAACTGTGAGTTCAGGTCGACTGGTAACATCTGAGTGAGTCTCTACTGCAGAAGTTCCTCTTAGGATGACGACGAACACCACCACTGTGCCACGGTAAGAAGGGTGTCAATCGTCCTCAAAAGCTCTTGTACGATCGGTACAAAGCAGCAGCAGCATCTATCTCACAACGAAACAGCCTTGTCATTACATCTAAATTGCAATTTAGATTCATTCAATCATCCGATACTTTGAGAGACCATGTCGCCCAAAACCACCCCTTCCAAAAGCTCATCCTAATTTTATGTATTCGATCGCGATAACTCAGATTTCAAATATAAGTAGGCAAAAGAGAAAAACTATTAGAATAAGTAACAAGAATAAACAATGTACGAAAATTTAATATTAAAAAGAAATGCTAGTGGGGTTGTAGATATCTTTTTGGCCCCCCCTTCATGAGCAAAGATCTGATGCTATTTTTTGCCTGCCATTTTTCTTTTGGTACCTCCATGGCCAAGGAGACTTAACTTTGATGCCACCACAAATATAACCGGTTTCTGTGTAAAATTAAACACTAGAGTAACCATGTCCAAAATGACAATGTCTCTGTTGTGATCGTTAATGACAAATTAATCCTCGTTATGTATGAGAACATGTAAAATTTGGTCAAATTATCCTAAAACAAATGACCTCTCTCTCTCTCTCTCTCTCTAGACAGCATATCAGCTGACCTGATTAATAAAGGATCTAAGCTGTTGATAGAAAGTCATACAATTAAATTCTGGGAAACACAAAGTTAAGCTAATGACAAATCGATTCTCTAAGTTTTCTTACTTTCAAAAATGGTACCATATGGTGCACGTTTATCTGGTCAAAAATCTTGTCTTGATCGTTGACAGAAATATTCTGCCATCAAATTATTTTTCCTACCTTGTAATCGAATAATTGATTTCTACGTAAGGCGATCGTGGGATGGGATTTAAGCTTGTAAGGTGTCTATTGTGATGCTGGACCACGCGCGTCTTTAAGATTCGCGAGCTTGGGAATCTGCGCGGAAAATTCTCGCAGAGACCATCGTCTACTCATTCGCACAGGGGAGTAAATTCGACGCGCCCTTTCGACAACAGCATGCGTGAAACTGACGGGATGTGGGCCGTTGGATCCGATGCCAGATATGGTTAAGGGAGAGATGCGCCCCCCAGCTCTTCCTCCGCAAGCCCGCATCCGGCCAGTGGCACGCGCTCATCCGCGCCTTTGTGCCTCGCGGAGGACGCGAACTGCCTCGCACCGTCACCGCTCGTAGCCCGGGTGATGCACGGAGTTGAGGGTGGCGGCTCCGCCCCGCCTTCTACCGACGACAGCGGCGGCTCCCCGGGGGACGCCTTCCTCCGCCACCCTCGGCCCGAGCCGACGGCGCCGCCTGCGGTCTCATGCCCCCCGGAAGATCGCCCGCGCTGCTTCCATTTCCTCCCGCACACGCTCATCCGTCCCCACCCGCCTCCGCAGCCGGTGGAACCACAACCAACGCCACTGCCGGTCGCGCCGATGGTGGACATTCGCGTACCCACTTTTAGGGTGCCCATACCCCGAGACTTGCCTCCCGGTCCTTGGGAGCCTCTGGAGATCTCTCATCCTCTGGTATCCCATCCCCGTTGCTCTGTTCAATACGGTAGCCAGTTGGAGCATGTCGGCAATCAAAATGCCCCTCGGGGAAGTAATTCTCGAGGTAATCGGCGGCCGAAACATCAGAATGTGGTCTCCACCACTCAAAAGTACGACAATAGAAGTTATTCATGTTCTTGGGGACATGGAGAGACGAGCGAGGCAAATGGCCGAGTGGGTTATGGGAACTGCGTGTCTGGCGCTGATGCGAAGGTCGATCCTAGATTTGGTGATCGAAGGAATGCCTGCGGTGATCCTGCACAATATAACCGCTCGCAAATGGGGTATCAATACGAGAAGAAGCGCATGAATCTGGGGGGTCACCGGCATTCCATTTCCTGGAAGCCAAAGGTAATTGAACAGAGCAGACCGCAGGGCTCGGCGCAGAAGCAAAAGGTTAAGGTAGAATGGGTTGCTGTGACTAGGAGGAAAGACGAGAATCATAAGTTGGAAATGGGAGATAATAGTCAGCAAGAAGTAAAAGATGGTGACGTGCTGCAAATTCAAACTTGTAATCACCTCGATCGGAGCAAATGTGAGCTAGAGGGCAATAATCTTCCAATTGAGGAATCATTTGTGGAAGATCATCTTAGTTGGTTACTGCCTGAGGCTTTTGAAGATTGGAATTCATCTGGAGTGGAATCTGAAGGGCACAAAGAAACTGAAGACTTGTCATCTCAAGGAGGTGCTAGTCAAGATGATGCCTTACCTGTGGAACAATCTGATTCTCTGATGCTTAAAGGCGACCATGATAAAAGAAAAAATGTGAAGAGACATTTCCCAACTCCACTGGTTGAGGTATATCATGAGTTTTTAATTACAACTATTATATGGAAGTGTTATCCGTTCTTCTGTCGATATTCACATGCAATTTGGCTGTCTCTTCTCTGATCTGAACAATGTGTGTGACTTAGCATCACAGACATATTGGTCTGCTAGCTAATGGTTTTTAGGCATTTTTTGAAATATTGATGCTTGCTTGGCGTTTTGCATCAAAATGGATATTTCTTCTGAGTACAATGCTTGTCTTTTCCATGTTGTCTGGGCTGTATCTACTCCATGTTGAATTTAAAAGTGTGATGAACAAGATTGATTACCCAAAGCATATAGGATTCATGATTTAAGTTTTCCTTCCAATGAGTTAAGCACAAACTTTAGAGGTATGACTTCTGGTTGTTATCTGAATTTGTGTGACATTTTCTGTTGTGCCTTATTGACTCTGGATTCACTCTTATGTTCAAGACACATTATCACTTTATGTTCAAGACACACCAATCGAAAAATCTGTCAATTTTTTTTTTGTACTTTTTGTTAATGATTATCTTCTCTTTTAGTTATGAATATAAAAAAAAATCTTTTTGAAGCTTTCTTCATCTGTTACTTTAAATCTAAAGTCAGGTGTTGCTTGCAATATCGAGAAGTTGAGCTTATTGATAGGTTTCTCCCAATTGGTTATTGTATTTTTAAAGCTCTCAAAAAACTTTAACATTGTTTTTCTGGATTTGACCAGGGAAATATCATTTACAATATCGTAATAGAGAAGGAAATACTGAGGTTGGCATTCTTGGCTTAGAATTTATCTTTTATTCTAAATTCCTTTTGGTTTATCTGTCATTATATCTGCAGCGTGTTGGATCATATTCTCTTAGAGGACTGCAAGTATCAAGCCAGTACATGAGGAATAGTAGAAGACAGATAGATTGTCACCCTGACATAGAGACTTTGACACCTGGCTTCCTTTCAGTGTACAGGTCTTTGATACCAGCAGATGATGAAAAAGATAAACAAAATCAAATATTGAAATCACTAGAAAAATCAATCAACAAAGAGTGGCCCAATGCCAGGTTGCATCTCTATGGATCCTGTGCTAATTCTTTCGGGTTCTCAAACAGTGATATCGATATTTGCCTTGCAATTGATGATAACACTATCAGGAAGCATGACATGGTGTTAAAACTGGCAGATATTTTACGGTCAGAAAATTTTCAAGATGTAGAGGTATGTTTGAGTTCAACACATTTAACTTTGAAGCTCCACATATATATTAAAATTGAGCATTCATAAATTCAACTTTTGATGTGTATATTTGTCTTTTTGTACAGATACTAAGCTCTACATCATATTGTAATGTGAAATATTTGCATCATAATGCAGCTAGACATTGTTTCTTTCCTTTTACTTCATCCAAACGTAATAAATTGTTTGTACTATGTATTAAAATTCAGATCTGTCCTGTACTATAATTTTCTTGTTGGAAGTCGAGATATGCATGATGATTATTGTTGTAGTCCTCTTTTCCCCCAAGATTTTTCCAGAGCCAACCGTTTGACTGTGAAAACTTCATGTGCTTACTCAAACCCTGTTCACTAGAAATGTCTTGAACTGTTGCATGTCCAATTAGATGCATATACTACACCTTCAAAATGTTCCTTATGAGAGAATATCTTTTCCCTTTTTGGGTCTAACCTTGTGTGTTATCTTTAAAGATTAAGTCATTCGGCATGGAAATTTGGTCACATGAATCTTTTTGTCCCTGCCTCTTTGTGGTTTATCCGTCGTACAAGCTCTTAGATCTCCATCGTGATGCATTATTTATATTGTATTTGTTTCACTTTTAAGAGTTTGATCAATTTAATTTTATGACCGCAATTCTTATGATTATTAAGTATTGCCATGGAATATTGATGATAACTCCTTGTGTACTCTTCCTGCAGCTTTAGATGACCAGAGGCTAGATACATATTAAGAGATTGACACTTTGTTCAAATGGGGATTTATTTTTTCTTGTCCTGTGTCTTCTGTTTCTTTTCCCTG